CAGTGGCACACTCACAGCCACCATAGCCTTGACCTGCTGGGCTCAGGTGATCCTTCCACCTCAGCCTTCCAAGTAGCTGGAACTACAGGCATGTGACATCACGCCCCGCTAATTTTTTAGTTTATCGTAGAGACGAGATCTTGCCAATTTGCCCACGCTGGTCTTGAACCCCTGGGCCCAGGCAATCTTTTCGCCTACACTTCCCAAAGTGCTGGGATTACAGGCGTGAGCCACCACGCCTGGCTCTCATATATTATCCCACCCAACACGTTTTCCTTATGATGTTACTGAACTCCTTATGCAGGCAGATGGGGTCTATATTTTCTCATTTTAAATCTGAGCAGGGGCCTGTAGTCTTCCCAACCCATGGAGTTCAGCAAAAGTGATGCTGGTTGACTTCTGAGACTGGCTCATGAAAGGATACAGCCTCGGCCCGTCTTTGTCTCTCTTCCTCTGCTTGCCCTCAGAACCCAGCCACCCGGCTGGGAGGCAGCCCGGCCACAAGCAGAGGCCTCTAGCTGACAGCGATCGTCAGTTGCCAGACACGTGAGTCAACGAGCTCCCATAGGGTTCCAGCCACAGACCTTCAGTCTTTCCACTGAGGGCCCAGAAAGCACCGACACTATACCCTGTCTGACATTCTAGCCCACAGAAACCATGAGGGATCATGAGTAATTATTGTTGCTTTAAGCCACTAAGTGTTGGGTCATCTGTTATGCAGTAATAGGTAACTAGTGAAACATCAATCCTGAATGTCCTCTAACGAGCTTCAAGGGGGAAAAAAGATATCTATTTACTCACTCATCTATGAAACCCAAGAGGGCATATTTGGCTTCAGACACACTAGATAGAGGGGGCTCAAGTGATGTCATAGGGTTCTGTATCTCTCTTCTGTTTGCTCTACTTTTCTGTCAGCTCTAAGTTTTCCTCGATTTTACAGTTCAACATCTCAGTAGAAGTGTATTTTCCCAAAACAGCAGCATAAACCCCAAGGAAGACCTGAGTCACCTGCGATAACAGTGAGTCACGTTTTCAATTTCAATTCACAGAAAACTCTACTACCAGTGACATAAAGCTTAAACCATAAGGACACTTATTATTTACTTTGAAAAAGTCCCAGCCGGGCTCGGGGGCTCGGCCTGTAATTCCAGCACTTTGGGAGGCTGAGGTGAATGGATTGCCTGAGCCCGCGGGTTCGAGACCCGCCTGGGCAACTTGGCGAGACCTCATCTCTACAATAAAATTTTAAAAAACTAGCCGGGCGTGGTAGTGCGCACCTGTAGTTCCGGCTACTTGGAAGACTGAGGCGGAAGGATCGCCAGAGCCCAGCAGGTGGAGGCTGCGGTGGCTGGGCGACAGAGTGAGACTCCAACTCAAAAAAGAAAAAGAAAAAGAAAAAGTCCTAAAGTAGGAGATCCCACTAGTCAAGTATAAGCGACCCAAGATTTTTCTATCCTCATGCTTGTGGCTTCATGGTCACAGTGTGGCTTCTCCAGCTCCAGTCATCACATTTGCTTTCACCGGAAAGGAAGGAACCAGAGAAAACCAATTTGTTTATCAAGCATGTTACTTTTCTTAGAAAGTAAAATATCTTCCCAGAAGCCACCCTTTTACCTCATTGGCCAGGACCAGGTTACTTGGCCAACCCTAGCTGTGAGAGAAGCTGTGAGAATAGTTGGCTTTCTAGTTTCTATAGTGGGAAGCAGCAAGGGAGAGAGGGCTGTGCATAGCTGGTGGGTTGGTGTCGTTTATGTCTGCCCAGCCTTGAACCAACCATGGACAGGGCCATAGAGTCTTCAGTTGGTTAGATCCTAGGTCAAAGGGTGGAGTCAACTCCACACAAACCCAGTGGACCGAGCAGGATTTTGGAGGCGCAAAGGTACGTTAAAGGGTTTGAAAACATCTGCCCATCCAGAGTGTTCTACTGTATGGATTAATTCACAAATCTTTTTTATCTAGTTATTTATTTATTTGAATCAGAGTCTCATTCTGTCACCCAGGCTGGAGGGCAATCGCACGCTCATGGCCACCGCAGCCTCGACCTGCTGGGCTCAGGTGATTCTTCTGCCTCAGCCTTCCAAGTAGTTGGAACCACAGGTGTGTGCCACCATGCCCAGCTAATTTTTTGATTTACTGTAGCGATGAGGTCTCGCTAAGTCTCCAAGGCTGGTCTTGAACCGGTAGACTCAAGCAATCCTCTCGCCTCCGCCTCCCAAAGTGCTGAGATTACAGGCGTGAGCCACCGTGCCTGGCTACAGTTCTTTTAATTTCCAACTTTGGTTCCTAGACAAGAGGATGGGAGGATTGGTGTGAGTGACAGTGTAAACACAGGCATGGGGTGGGAGGAGCACAAGGAGACAGGTTAGGGCTAGGGAGCATTTCAGTTTGGTTAGAGGTTGGGCCACAAGGAGGGCGGGAGAAAGTATGGGTAGCCACAGCTGACTGAACGTCAAGCTATGTCAATATTTTACTTAATACTCATAATAGCCACATGAGGGCAGTATCGCTCAATTTCCACTCAATGATGTTCCAGATAAGAAAACAGACCTGGAATCAAAATCCAGGCCTTCTGATGAGTTTCCAGGCTGTGTGACTCCAGAACCTCCAGGCTGGAGACCCTGCTCTGGTTCCCCGAAGAAGGAGTAACTCAGGGGAAGCTGGCGCGATTAAAGCCACATGAAGTCACTTTCTTCCTGGAAAGATCTGGATACGGAGGCACAGGCTAGGCCAGGTTGTGTTATCTCATGTGCTTGGAGATCGGAGTTGGAACTTCATTGCCAAACATCTGCACTCCTCACGCTGAGATGAGATTTCTGACTGATTGAAAAACAGACAAACAAAACGACACCAACCCTGAGGCCGAGAACAAGTTCCCCAAATCATCAAGGTATCAGCTCCACCACCTCCGGTCTCACCAGATGAAGCCACCTGGTCCAGAGGGCAGAGCAAGCCCGTGGGGCCCTTCACAGTGAGCAGTCATGAAAATGGCAGAGTGTGGCTGCCAGCTGATTGAGGACGGCCCTGTCAGCATGAAGCCAAGGTTCCTTTGGCCTTTTGCTACTGGAGGAAACCTAGGCTGAGTCCAGAGTCTCTCCACTGCTCCCTAGTGCTGACCATAGTCCAGAATGTCCCAGACTGTGAGATCATATGCCACAAGTGTCTATTCCTTTGTACTCTGTACTCATACCTGCGTCTTGGGAGGAACCCTACAAAACCATAGGCACTGAAGCACTTGTCAAAATGCTACAGATTGGCCAGGCTCGGTGGCTCAGCCTGTAATCCCGCGCCTTGGAGAGGCTGAGGTGAGTGGATTGCCTGAGGCCGCGGGTTCGAGAACCGCCTGGGCAGCGAGACCTCATCTCTACAATAAATCAAAAAATCAGCCGGGCGTGGTAGCACGCGCCTGTAATTCCGGCTACTTGGAAGGCTGAGGCGGAAGGATCGCCAGAGCTCCCCCGGGAGCAGCCACTGCACTCCGGTCTGGGCAACAGAGTGAGACTCCAACTCAAAAAAAAAAAGTCCTACAGATTGAAGATGCTAGGTGATGACCAGACACCCGAGCCCATCCACCCAGTCATGGAAAGTTCCAAACTGCCCCTAGAAGTCTGGTACACTCGAATGTTGACTTGAAAGAGTGAGATGGATCTCTTGCCCTGACATATGAGGCACCCCAAATCTGCCGTCACCCCAGTTGGGAGGCAATGTGGGCCAGTGGTGAAAAGCATGGCTTTCGGATTTGGAAGACCCTGCTCAAGTCTTATGGAGGCCACTTGTGCCTCGACCAAGTTTAATGTCTCCTTTCCAAGCCCGTTTCTCCACTTGTAAAAAGTCATGGCAAACGCACCACGCGAGAGTTTAAGGAGGCCGAAGTGAAATGATGCAGGTCAAATATCTGGCCCTTGGTAAAAACAAACTGCGTGTATAGGGTTCCCGTTTCTGTAAAAGAACAGTGTGAGCACACGCACAGAAAACAACCCACGCCTGGCGGGGGGGCACGGCCTGTAGCTCGAGCTACTTGGAGGGCTGATGTGGAAGGATCCCCTGAGCCCCGCAGGTCGAGGCTGCGGTGGCCTGGGCGTTCCAGCCTGGGCGGCCGGGTGAGGCTTCAACTCAAAGGAAAAGGCGAAGAGCCCGCACTGCTCTCTAAACCGTCAGCAAGAATCCTCTCGGCGTGGGGACTCGGGGAAACCAGGGACCCGCCTCGTCCTCCAGCATGTGTGGCTAAAGTTCGAGCTGAAAGAAAGACATCAAAGAATCGGGCCGCATTTACAACCAGAACAGCGGGAGCACCCGGGTGAACAAAGAGCGTCCGAACGAAGAAGCGAGGAAACTGCAGGCGGCCCGGCCCAGCCCCGCGGCCCGAGGACGCGGTTCC